AAGAAAGGGTAGGTGAATGAGACAGAAAGAAGACACACACACACACACACACACACACACACACACACACACACACACCCACACGCACGCACGCGCGCACACACGCACTCATACACGCACAGACGCATATTGAGAGAGGGAGAGAGAAAAAAAGTGAGGTAAATAGATGGATAAATATATAGATATATAGATAGGTAGATAGATAGATAGACAGAGAGATAGATAGATAGATAGATAAATAGATGTGTGTGTGTGTGTGTGTGTGTGTGTGTGTGTGTGTGTGTGTGTGTGTGTGTGTGTGTGTTTATGTGTAAAGAGATATACTCGCTGTCTCAAGTGCGCACCTCACGATTTGCGACTCGCGTCCGATGCTGCTGGTCGTCTTTGATTTGTGGCTAGCACACGGCATCCTTTCTTACCGGCGTGTCCGATAGATAATCGTACACGCGCCACAGCAATAATACGTGTCAGCCGGAGAGCCGCACACACCGTGATTGCCATCCGTATAAGACTAGGCAACATCCGCGCGACACGTCGCGCCGAAGATGGATGCGCGCTGACAGGATGCGGGCGGGCAGTGTGTGTAGCATCTTCTCGGAGCTCGCAGTTTCTCGGCTCGTGGCTGAACGACAAAAGTAGGCCGCCGTGGTGCGCGTTTCCTGTGTGTATACGACTACTTATCACGAGTTGACACTGATTTAATATATATGGGTATATAGGATATATATATATATATTACATAATGATGACGTATAATAGCATAATATCAGAAGTAGATAATAGGGAATAATTCCCTATATAGATAGTTCCCTATTATCTACTTCTGATAATATCAGCAGTCTATCAATATAATATGATACTCCTGATAATATGTATATTACATTTGCGAGCAGTGATATCTTCAGGAGCTCTTGGTGGTATGGCAGTAACATCCACTATACCTACCTACTCAAATTCATATTCATACACACATAATTATACCCATACGAGCACGCGCACACGTGCACGAGCATGCGCATACACAACATGATGATATAGGTGCTGTACAACAGTAGAGGGCGTCCATAAGCAGCAGGGCTGAATAAGCATCGAACAGAAATTAATTAAAGATACTCACACTGTTTCGTCGCATACACAACATACACGTTATTCATGTTAAATAACTACAGATTCATGCTCTATGTCCCGCTTGAAACTTTTGCCAACTATATGATGCGAATTTCTACAAAGTAGTCGTTTCACATTTCAAACACAAAAATAGCCAACCGGTCACCATGGCTACGCCACTTGACGGAATGTCACAACTGTACGACAAGACCAATTTTACTTCTAATGCTTTCTAGACGTCCACGAGACATCTTACTTGTGTGCATAATGCAGATTATTACACTCTAGTGCCGAATTTCACCGAGAAA